GCTGGCTACAGACAGTGTCAAAGCTGCTTCATATTTATTTCCATCAACATCAGCCACAGCAGCAAACTGACTTCAGCATTAAAGCTCGTATCTGTAGGACACGTTAATGAGCTGCACCGCTTTGGATCATGGTTCTGTTGGTTCTCCATCTGCTCCCACGTCCTTTCTACACCTCCAGGGCTGCAGCTGGAAGTTTTAAAAAAAGTCAGATATGCCTTAAGTATGTACGTTATACATCCTCAGGTTGTCTTATTGATATCTGATAGATTATCTGATACGATCAGTGATTGTTATGGCCGTTGGCCACAAGGTGTGTGTGTGTGCAGGACCCAGAACGAAGAGGGTCAGGGTTAGGGTAAGGAATAACAGGCTTTATTCAGGGAAACCAGGGCATGTGGGACACCAGGAGGCAGGTGAGGGAATCCGGAGCAGGTGCACTGGTGCCGCGGTGGAGGGTGATCTCCAGTGCCGGTGCCGTGTGGCGTTCTCCTCCCCCGCTTTCTCTCTTTCAACTGTCTTGTCTGATGAAGGCAAAAAGACCAAAGAAATAACTTTACAAAAAGAAATAACTCTAACTGTAATGATGCAAGCAACATAGCTTTAGTGCTTCAAACCAATCGTGGAAACACCAGATGATCATCGACCTTCACAAACCAGAGTTCATGTTGGTGTCTGAAGCAGCAGCAGCATTTCCTACAAATCCATGTGAAAGGATCAGAGAGCAGAGGAGCTGCAGCTCTGACGTCACTGTTTCTGAGCTGAGTGTCCTCCAGTCATCACTGGAGTTAGTTCACTTAGTGACCGGCCAGCCTGACACACACACACACACACACACACACACACACACAGTGACTGCTGCTGCTTTATCCCTGATGTGCAGATCTGCCTCTACACTGGGACATAACGTTGATGCTCTGAGGAGGTAATCATGATGGAACATGTGTAGAGCAGTAGATATAAATCAGTGGTCCAGCTGGTCCGGGTCTCCGTTGGAGGAGCAGCTCGGCCCACTGGAGAAGCTGCTGGCCGGTATCAGCTGGACGTCGGTACCTGCCGACGAGCTGTCACCACCACGTTGTCAGGATCTCCGGTGTGCTCCACTAAACATGACATCAGAGTTATTTGTTAGAAAGTTTTAATGTTTGTCCTGAAATCAATCCGTGTCTATGGCTCTATGTCTTGTCGCCCTGTAATGACGGGACGTCCTGAAGCTCAAACCCTGGATGTCTGTTAACAGTTGACCAGACAGCAGATCACCTGATCANCTCTAAGTGTAGCCCTGTGATAGACTGGTTACCTGTCCAGGTGAACCTGCCTTCACCCTGAGTCAGCTGGGATAGGCTCCGCCCCCCATGACCCTAGTGAGGATTAAGGTGTAGAGATGATGGATGGATGTTTAATGTGACTGAATTTATCCGACAGATCACAGAGTAGACATGCAGGTAAACACTCAACAGCTGATACTTGGAGTGCACCAGTCTAGCGTTAACTCTGTCTCAGGTGAGTTACCTTCTGACCAGCCCCAGAGAGACTCTGAACAGCAGACCTCCGGCTCCAAACACTCCCATCCCATTGGCTCGTCCTGAGCTGTCGATACAGGCCAGCTCCGGCTCCATGTCCTTATTGGCTATGATGAACTGAGCGAACAGCAGGTCGCCCACCTGTACACGTGACACACAGGGAGGGCGGGGCATCACGTTTCAGCAGTGTTACGTACTTCTGCAGCCGAACCACAAACTACAGCTCCAAACTGGACTTTTTTACTCTAGCTCAGTGCAGAAGTCTTCACCTGGACGTTGGGTCGGTTCCTCTTGGTGGCGCCCTCAAACGCCAGGTAGGACAGAGATGCCTGCTCGCTTCCCCCCACGTCCACCTTGAAGACGTCTCCGGATTTGGCCGTGACGATGCCGATGACGCTCTCTCCTTTGGCGGGGACATACTGAGGACAGACGGACACAGAAAACGTCCAGCGTGGTTTACATCACTGAACGGTCGTTTCCCTTCACTGTAGAATCAAAGCTGACGGACAAGTGAAGCCTGAACGTCTCAGTTTCCTGAACAGACTTCTGGCTGCTGAAGCCTCTTACTGAGCGTTTTCTAAACGGGTTTCTCTCCGTCGTTCCCTTAAATTGTCAGTTTTCTGAATGGAGTTCTGCCTGTTGTTCTTTTAAATGATCAGGCTTCTGAACAGACTTTTACCTGTTTCCTTAAATTGTGCGTTTTCTGAATATATTTCTGTCTGCTGAAACTTTAATCTGTCAGTTTTCTGAAAAGGTTTCTGTCTATTGTTCCCTTAAATTGTCAGTTTTCTGACCAGCCTTCTGGCTGCTGAAGCTTCACACTGAGCGTCTCCTAAACGCGTTTCTCTTTAACTCGTCGGGTTTCTGAGCGGACCTCTGTCCCCGGTCTCACCCGTCGCTGCTGGGAGTCGATCCAGAACACGTTGGGCGCTTTGTGCCGCAGCACGCCGCTCTTGCACACCACCAGCCGGTCTCCGCTGCGCCGCAGCCCCGGACCGCACACCGCCTTCTCCGGCTTCGCGGGCTCCGTCAGAGAGATGGTGTCGTCGGCCTCGAAGGAGAACTCGTCCCCCGGTAGGAGAACCTCGTCGACCCGCCGCTTCAGACTGGAGAACATGCTGCAGGTCCGAATAACACGGACCGAGATCAGCGTGAGGCCGGAAGTGACCTTCTTCTTCTCCTTCTTCCTGGCGGACGTGTTGAGCAGCGGGTTGGTGCGTCATTAGCGCCCCCAGCTGGTTGGAGTTTGGAGAACAGGGTTAGACTTTCGGGTTCCGTTTCACAAAGCAGGTTCAACAAACTCTGTTTCCGGTTCCAGAACAGCGGCTCTGAGTTCGTTTAATCAACTCATCTGGAGGTAAACGGGGAAGTGGAGGGTTGCGTTTTTCACCCACTAGAACCGGAAACGTTAGCGCGCTGGACGGCGTGGAGAACAGTTCTGCTCGGGTCCATGTGTAGCTTTAAAAGTGGTCCTTTAATCACAGTCATATGACAGGAAATGGCTGCAAGGCTGCCTATTAATCAGGCAGCAGCTTCAGGTGAAATATAAAACCACTGTTCAGGTCTGAGGCTGCAGCACAACGTCATGAACAGAACATGATTTAAAATGAACTGAACACATCTCCACATCATCCACCAGAGGGCTGCACGACGAAGCCAGGTCAGTGGGTCAGCAGGTGTGTCGAGTTTAAAGCCAGAGTTTTCAGTATCACCAAGGTGGCTCTCTTTTTACCTGCTAGGTCTCCATGGTAACTGATGCTGTGGAGCTAGGTCTCCATGGTAACTGATGCTGTGGAGCTAACCTGGGGCCTGTACTACGAAGCAGGACCTGGGGTTATCTTTAGGCTAAATCCTGGGTTTTCGGTCC